TTGATGGGACACTGTGACACAGGGCACATGAGTCTGTCATATATTGTAATAAGTTACCCTGTAATATTAGCAGACTGCCTGCAACAGCTCACAAATCCAATAGGTCTGAAAGAGATAGCTACAGTATGTGCCCAAGAAAAGAAAAATAGACATTGACTTTGCATATATAACACCAGATCGTTTGCCATTAAACTTAATTTCTAAATCATTTATATGGCTTAATGACTCTGCATGAAATTTTTAAGCTGGTGGCAAGATGAATAGCACCACGGAGAGAATGTGGATGAGTACAGTGTCATTTACCTACCCCTCGCCCTCTAACAAGTGACAGCTGAGCTATTGTAATATGTCCCAAACACTTAAACGATAATGCCATCACTTAGGAGGCAAGTGAAAAAGATATTGGCATTTATAAGAGATTGATGAAAATTAGTTCTAAAGCATTAATTTCTCTTAATACCACTAAAAGAATTGTGTGCATTCAGGAGATATTTGATCTGAATTAAGAAACTGATGAAGCAATTGATTAATTGGAATTTAAGCCATCAGTCACCAGATCCATCAACAGCCTCATTTACATTCTAAACAATCAACTGACGGCCCAACAGAATACCCTGTATTAATACACAGTCAATATGATGCCACGAAGAGACTCACTGAGCTGTACTGACAAACGCCCAGTGGCTATCGTCCAAACTCAACACGCTGCGTAGATTTAAGACTTTCACACTGGCTAGGGTTTAGAGATTCTTACTATAACAGACAGTATATTACCAGGGTTTTCTGAACTGAAACTGAAAAATAATAAAGTAATATTAACAGTGTTAGCAGATACATAAAAAATTCTAAACATGTAAGTTTAAAAACAAGGCTTTAATTTAAAACCTTAAATAATTATGTAAAGTCACACAAACAGAATTTCTAAAGCTAAGAAACCTTGATTGAAAGCAGTGTTATGACACATTTTACACAGCTGGGAAGCTGTCTGGTCCATTTTATAAAGAGAAGAAAAATATCATGAAACAGTAATCTGACATTTAGTATCTCCATAAGAGTAACAGTAATTGTTTTAACAATTTAAATTTGACAGAAAAAAATCATAAAACTGAGGAATATAATAGAACCACAGGTTAAAACAGATGACAGTAAGGTCCTAAACTTGGAGCCATTAATAACCTTCCAGGAATATGTTAAATAGTAAAAATTTAGCATACGTGTATATTATGTACATTTTTCTGAGGAACAAAGTGATAATTCTTAAGATTCTCAGAAAGACCCATGACCTCCAAAATATTAAATATCATTACCCTACAGAAAGAAACTGTCCCTACAACATAGAATACAAAGCAAAATTTGAGGGAAAAAAACATTTTTAAAACATAATCAATTTGGATATAACGTTATTTATCTGTAGTTGGCACATCAGAGAGTATCTCACTTGCCTAATTCTCTAATATTCTCTGCATGTTTTGCTATCTTATTACGCCATAACAATGATACGGTGGCTGAAGAACAATTTCTGAAACTTCAGCAAACATTTACTAGCCCTCAGAGTCTTCCTCTGAAAAATGGACACTTCTAACAACCTTCCAGCTTTGAAGAGATGGATTTGTCCACACTTTGTCTCCTCACATAGTCTGTATACTCTATTTCTTCTACGTTAATTACCTAAAGCCATTTCCACGTTGAGCATGATATTCTTAATCTTACATATATTCCTACCATGATCACTACAAGGGCATTTAAATATAAATGCATCTCCCGGGATTTCCCTGGCAGTCCGGTGGTTAAGAATCCGTGCTTCCAGGCTTCCCTGGTGGCGCAGTGGTTGAGAGTCTGCCTGCCGATGCAGGGGACACGGGTTCGTGCCCCGGTCCGGGAAGATCCCACGTGCCGCGGAGCGGCTGGGCCCGTGAGTCATGGCCGCTGAGCCTGCGCGTCCGGAGCCTGTGCTCCGCAACGGGAGAGGCCACAGCAGTGAGAGGCCCGCGTACCGCAAAAAAAAAAAAAAAAAAAAAGAAAAGAAAAGAATCTGTGCTTCTGGTGTAGGGCACACGGGTTCGATCCCTGGTCGGGGAACTAAGATGCCACATGCCAAGTGGTGCAGCCAAAAAAGAAAAAAAAAGTATCTCCCAAATGCAAACTGTTTGTTATTCATTATACTGAATACATTTACAAACAAAGACAAAGAAATCATAAATAAGTAGGGATGGCAGTGTAAACATCTCTGAAAACCCGTTCCTCCATAACTGTAATGACAACATAAGCAAAAATTGTCTAAAGCAACTTTTTCAAAACTCTGGAAAATAATCAAAGACTTGCAACAATCCCAGGTGCACTTATTCAAGAAACACGGCTAAATCTAGCTATGAGTGAGATGTGTGGTGTTTTGACTTGTCCCTTTGCCAGTACCCTGCCCCCAGTCAAACTCCACAGTAGCTGAGCAAACCAATGGTCTGGTAGCCACTGAGGGGAAGAAACCAGGGCTAGGACTCCCCAAACCCCACGCCCAGACAACTGTAACCACCTGATCAGGTAGAGCTTGTCTGGATTTGACTCAACCCACAGTTCATTCACTGAGAATGTGTTTTCCCTGGAATGTTTGTCAAAAACAAACAGTGGCCATTGTTTAATGTCACAGCTACCTTGGGCGGTGGTTAAAGCTGGGGTAAACAACAAGCTGACCAAAAAAATTTAAAAGAAAAATCAGATAACAAGGAGCAAAAGCTCTATCATACTCCCAAGAGCCTAGAAGGCCACCTGCCAGTGCAGGGCTGCACACAATGCCCTTGAAAACCCGAGAGGCCCGAATCTCTCACACCTGGCTGACTCTGAGGCTCTGTACAAGCAAGTGAAGGCAAAGGCAGAGTTTTAACTGCCTGACACAGCTCTGCAGGTGTTAAGGGAACACTAGCTATTTGTAAAAGATAAAACTTGCAACTCTGGTACTTAATAATACTTCTCTGTCATACAGAGTCCACTTGGTGACAGAATGGGAGGGGAGTCTGTTCCACACAGACATTAAGGAACCTAAACTGAGGGAAGCTCTGCCATCTTCAACAGGCAGCTTCCAAGGTTACCCTGGTCATGGACACATAGCCAGTACAGGGAAAGCCGAGGCTGGAAGTGGTACACATGACTTTCAGCCACCCTCCTTCGGCCATACCTCAGGGCATGGCCCCATCTAACTGGACAGGAAAGGGAAATGGACTGGAAAAGTAGTTCTCCAGTCTCCACCCTATGGGCAAAACAAAACCACACATTAAACAGCACACAATAAAGTAAAGGTATCAAGTGTACAGAGGTCACTTGATTATTAGGTGTAACTGAATTCTGCTGTTAATGGCAGCCTCATCTTACGATGTAAGTAATCATAACTACAGTTGGTGAAAAGAGAAAACATTTTTCTTCTCTCTCATGACTTAAAATGTCCTTTTAAAGAAACGCTGTTTAGGAACTTTGCTGGTGGTCCAGTGATTAAGACTCCTCGCTCCCAACACAGGGGGCCCGGGTTCGACCCCTGGTCAGGGAATTAGATCCTGCGTGCCACAACTAAGACCTCGCATGTGGCAATGAAGATCCCGCATGCCACAAATAAGACCCGGCACAGCCAAATAAATAAATTTTTTAAAAAATACAAAAAAACAACAAAAACCCCCCACTGTTTGTAAATGGAGAAAAAACGAAATCAACAACTCTAAACTTTAACCATGTCCTTTCTAGAGTTTTCATGCTACAAATAATAATACATGTGCTGAGCTTCCCATAAAAATATTGCTCATTTATGCAACAAAGTCAGAAATATAAGGCAGAAGGAACTTTGGATATTACTTGACAAACCTCTCATCATTTTAGAGATGATGAAAATGTATGACCACGTGGCTAGGTCATATAATTAGAAATTGGTCAAAGCAGACTAGATTTTAGGTTTCCTGATTTCCAACCAATGGATTTTTTTTCCTTGACCACATGAGGCTTCCTTCTCATTACCCCTTTTGCACCTTCCTCTTATTGTTTAAAGCTCTGGTCATATAAGTATCATTTTTTCTGTGAAGCCCATTTCAACTCACCTAGGCAAATTGTCTGTTCCCTCCCATTACCCCTACATGTCTTTTATTTATTTATTTGTTTGTATATTTATTTTTGGCGGCATTGGGTCTTCATTGCTGTGCATGGGCTTTCTCTAGTTGTGGCAAGTGGGGGTTACTCTTCGTTGTGGCACGTGGGCTTCTCATTGTGGTGGCTTCTCTTGTTGCAAAGCACGGGCTCTAGGCACACGGGCTTCAGCAGTTGTGGCATGCGGGCTCAGTAGTTGTGGCACGCAGGCTCAGTAGTTGTGGCTCGCGGGCTCAGTAGTTGTGGCTCACAGGCTCCAGAGCACAGGCTCAGTAGTTGTGGCGCACAGGCTCAGTTGCTCCATGGCATGTGGGCTCTTCCCACACCAGGGCTCGAACCCGTGTCCCCTGCATTGGCAGGAGGATTCTTAACCACTACGCCACCAGCAAAGCCCTCCACATGCCTTTTAATATTTATACTATCTATACAATCAGAGTATTGCTAATCGTCAATGTGTGTACTTCCATAAATAAGTAGATCATAAACTCTTTGAAGAGAGCAACTCGGTTTTACTCCCTTTTGTATTCTAAGCAACAGGTAGTGCCTGGCATATAGTAAGTGCTAAATAAATGTTTGCTGAATGAGAAATAAAAGTGCAAATGCAGAATAGCAATCAAGTTTTGAGGAACATCACCATCTATTTGGATATCAAAATGGATTCGAATGAAAACTTTCACTTGATATAGGAAAGGATATTTTTTAAACCAACATATTACACAGTAAAATCATTGTTTTAAACATAAACAGTTAAATGTGATTTAGAAATTAATGAATTCAATATATTATCAAAGAAAAATTCTTACAAGAATAAATTTAACTTTTATCTTTCAAAATGAAAATTAAACTGCCAAAATACCAATCATCAGCAATAAAAATAAAAATACCTGCTTTTTCTGATGTCCTAAGAAATACCATGTCCGATGGAATTCTTTGATTCTGCAGAGTAATATAAAATATTAATTATCTATATGCAAGTCTACAAATTAACACAATTCCATTCCAAAGGAGAAATAGCTCCTAAAAACAACTAAAATAATGTTATATTTCAACTCTATGCTGAAACAATTAACATCCATAATTTGTATAATAAAAATGAATATTTTAACTCATATTTTAGTTAGACCTCGAAGTTTCTTTCCGCATCAATGAACCACGTAAATGGCATTTAGTGATGACCTGAAAACTACTTCATTTCCTGAAAAATGTTAAATATTACCATTTCTGTGGCCTCTGTTGTACACCTCAACTCACATGTACAATATAACAGTTACTGCCTTATAAAAAAATGACGGCCTCCCTATCAGACTAATGACCTAGAAAGTGAGGACAGTGTTCTTCCAACACCTAACACAAAACAGAGCATATCGAAAACGAAACACTTAATAAATGTTGAATGAAAGAATAAATGTACAACTGAGCAAACAAAACCCCACAAATTTGAGGAGATATTCTTTTTACAAAGCAGGAAAGGAGAAAAACTCAAAGGTCACTATTCATACATTTATTTAATCACTATTACTAATACTAGTATTAATTAGTATTACTAATAATATTAGTAATACTAATTACCATTAATTAGTTGGGAAAGCTATACAAACTAAAAGAAAAATATAATTATAATAAGAATACTTCACATAGTTTCATGAATTATTTATATTCTTTAAGACCTAAGTTAAGATTTATCTACACACAGTAAAGAAATGAACTACTTGTCAGTCAGCAAGCAACAAAAACAAACATAAGTTGTTAAAGCGGAAAGAAGATATGCTGTAGAACAGAGCTATTTATTTCTAACATTTCTTTAGGCAATTGTTAAGATCTAAAGAACCTTTAGGTGAAGGGGGAAATCACAATGGAAACTAGAAAATATTGTTAATGAAATGGTAATAAAAACTCAACATATCAACATATCATGTGTGTAACACAGCCGAAGTCAGGAAAATGATAAGAGGAAAATATACATGACTAAACTGCATACAACAGAAAAGGGAGGCTAAAAATATACAAAGGACTAAATATCCATTCGAAAGCAGGAAAAAAAAACCCAGCCAATAAATCCCAAAGAAAGTACAAGGATGTAAAGAAATATAAGAGCAAAATTAATGACACAGGAAACAAAAACATACATACCAGTAACAAACAGCAAGAAGGTAAATATTTCTTTAAATATGCCCATTTCGGTAATAAGAAAAAACTAGCAATAGAATAAAACTGATAAAAGATGGGCAAGCCTTCTAAACAAAAAACTGTAAAACATTACTGAAAGAAATTAAATGAAGCCTAAGGAAACAGAAAACACCATGTTCTGAAATTAGAATATACAGTATTGCAAAGATGTGAAGTGTGCATATACTGACCTATACATTCAACACAAACCCAATCAAAATATTAACATTTTTTTTTGGTGGGAAATGACAAGATATTCCTAATATTTACAGGGAAATGAAAAGGCCAAGAATGACTAGACAAGTGTGAGAAACAACATGGAGAGCTGTCTGTACAATATAACAAAACTAAATATTAAAATAGAATAATTAAGACAAGATGGTATTCCACTAAGATGGATGATTATAGTAATGTAAAAGCAGAGAATCCAGAAGTCGGCCCACACATCCATGGACACCAGATTTATGAGAAAGTTGGCACTGCAGACATCTTTTCAATAAACAGTGCTGAGAAAACTAGATACCCATGGGCAATGAGAAGAGATAATACCTGGCCTCTACTTCAATCGAAACACGAAAATCTATTCCAAACGAATTATACTTCTAAATGTCAAAGTCAGGGGCTCCCCTGGTGGCACAGTGGTTAAGAATCCGCCTGCCAATGCAGGGGACACAGGTTCGAGCTCTGGTCCGGGAAGATCCCACATGCTGCGGAGCAACTAAGCCCGTGCGCCACAACTACGGAACCTGAGCTCTAGAGGCTGCGAGCCACAACTACTGAGCCCATGTGCCACAACTACTGAAGCCTGGGCGCCTAGAGCCCGTGCTCCGCAACAAGAGAAGCCACTGCAGTGAGAAGTCCGCACACCGTGATGAAGAGTAGCCCCCACTCACTGCAACAAAGACCCAACGCAGCCAGAAATAAATAAATAAATAAATTTTTAAAAAATGTCAAAGTCAAAACAATAAAACCTAAAAGATAATACAGAAGAATATTTTCATGACTTTTTGGTAGGAAGAGATTTCTTAAACAAGACTCCTTCCCCCTACCACCACAAATTTTAAAAAAAATTTATTACAGATGAAAAGATTAATAAGGTTGACTTCATTAGAATTTTTCTTTGAATGATAATATATTGAATTCATTAAGCATCTCTGTTCCACAAAGCACACTAGGAAGGAAAAGATATTCACAACATAAAACTAATAAAGGACTCCCATCCAGAGTACTTGAAGGCCTGCAGACTGTTAAGAAAGGATAACTCTGAAGAAAAACAGCAAGAGATTCTCACAGGCTTTTCCCAAATGAGAAAAATATCCAAAATCGTATGAAAAGGTGTCCGACTTTGTTAGTCTTTACAGAAATGCACATTAAAACCACAACCACTATGTACAATTTGGAAATGGTAAATTTAAAAGGTTGGCAATGCCAAGTGTTGGCAAACATGAAGGAATGGGAACTCTTACTCACTGTCGATCTGAGTATAATTTGATACATCACTTTGCAAAATCATTTGCAGTAAGTACTCAAGTGCAACATACACATTCACCCCAAAATCCAACAAGTCCACTCCTCAGTACACATGCAGCAGCAATGTGTGCACATGTGAGCCAGAAGACATGGTCAAGTATGACTCAGAGGTATCAACCCTAACAGGCAAAACTTAGAAGCAACCCAAATACCCACCAACAGTAGAATGGACACAAGGCATACTATGTAACCACAAAATGAATGAATTACAGCTGCACACAACAAAATGAAGACTCTCATAATCAGTATTGGGTCAAAAATAAGCACCCACCCAAACACAGCCCCATCCCACTGAATTTTCTAGGCACCCTTGTTGAAAATCTGTTAACCAGAAATTTAAGGCTTTATTTCTGGACTCTCAATGTTTAATTTATGCCAATTCCATACTGTCCTGATTAATGTTAACTTTGTAGAAAGTTCTGAAATGGAGAAGTGTGAATATGCCAATTTTGTTCACATTTTTAAAAACTGCTTTGGCTATTCTGCATCTCTTGTATTTCCATATGAATTTTAGAATCAGCTTGTCAATTTCTGCAAAGAAGTCAGCTGAGATGTTAAGAGGGACTGCACTGAACCTGTAGATCAGTTTGGGAGTACTGCCATTTTGACATATGAATACTTCCAATCCATGAACATGGGACGTCGTTCTGTTTATCCAGGTCTTCTTTACTGTGTTTTAACAATGTTTTGTAGTTTTCAAAGTACAAGTTTTGTTCTTTTGTTAAGTTTATTCTTAACCATGATTTTATTTATAAGTATTTTATTCCTTTGATACTATCATACATGGAATTTTTTTCTTAATTTTAGACAACTACCCTTTATTCCCTTATCCTGTTTTATTTTCTATGAGGCATTAATAAGTAAACTAGAAACTTCAAAATAATTATTGGATATTTTTATTTTTCCCTCCTCTCAAGACTCTGAGCAATATAGGAGCAGGGACCTGTGTTTTCTTAATATGAAATTACCATGGTATAATGTACAGCAGTTTCTTTGACCATGACCCGTTCAGGATATCTGAACTGTTTCTGATTTTTGGCTATCATGAATAATGCAGGTATAAACATTCATGTTCAAGCTTTTGTGCCAATCTAAATTAATATTTACCTGTGATAAAGGTCCAAAAGTTCAACTTCTGGGTCAAATGATAGTTGTATACTCAGTTTTTTAACAGACTGTCTAATGATTTTCCAGAATAGCTGTAACATTTGATATCCCCACATGAATTGCATGTGATCCACTGTCTTCATGTCACTGCCAGCATTTGTGCTGTCATCAGTTTTCATTGTAGTCATTCTGCTATATGTGTAGTGATATTTCAGTGTATTTTCATTTGCATTTCCAGATAACTAATGATGTTGAATAACGTTTCATATGCTTATTTTCTATCTGTATGTCTTCTTTGGCTAAATGGGGGTTTTTTTGCCCATTTTCTAATTTGATTTTTTTTTTTACTGTTGAGTATTTAGCATTTTTACACATTCTAGATACAAATCTTTGTGGATATATGGTTTACAAATACTTTCTCCCAGTCTGTTTTTCCACCATATTCACATGTTCTTTCACAAAGCACAAATTTTTAATTTTAATGATGCAATCTATCAATTTCACCCTTATATGCATTGTGCTTTTGGTGTCAAGTCTAAAAACTATTTTCCTACCCTAGATTCTGAATATTTTCTCCTGTTTTATTCTAAAAGTTTTGCAGTTTTACGTTATATATTTAAGTCCCTGGTCCACTTTGATTTAATATCTATATAAGGTATGACGTTTAGATTATGGTTCATTTTTTACCCATGGATGTCCACTAGTTCCAGCCTGTTTTGTTGAAAGGCTATCCATCCTCCATTTTAATTGCTTTTGCACTTTGTCAAAAATCACTTGAGCATATTTGGGTGGGTCTATTTCTGGGTTCTCCATTGATGTTTCATTATCTTTGTTTCTACCCTTCTTCTGCCCTATGTTAATATAGTAGGAAGTATGCCTTAACATTAGGAGAGTGACTCTTTTCACTTTATTCTCCTTGTCAAGGTTGTTTTTGCCATGTTAGGGCCTGTGCCTTGCCAAATCAGTTTTAGAAAAATCTTATTTTGTCTTTAAAACCAAAACAAACGAACGAAGAAAAAACCTTGCTGAGATTTTGATACATACATCTGTGTAAGAATTCAGTTACTGTTCAGGTTTCCTTATTAAGCTGGGAGATAATCTTTGGAATTTCTTGCTTCACCTTGCATGCATAAAGGATCATCTGACCTTGACTCTGAACGGTCCTACCCTCCCAATTTCCACATACATGTCAAACACATACTTCTCCTAGGCTGAATTTGAAACTGGAGAACTAGGAGTTTAAACCTAGACGCAGTGAACACTGAAGGCCGCATCATCCTCTTTCCACTTTCTGTCCCAGGCTGCTGCTCTCCCATGTTCTACGGCTACTGACATCTATAACACTGAGCCAAAGCTGATTAGCATTATTTCTTTAAATACCCATAAAATGAATATCAATGTACTAATTTTAATTCCATGTTAAGATAAAAAATTACAACTATCCTATAACATAAAATCCACCATGGAAATATCCAAACATTAATTTATAAATAGGAATATGGTCAAATAAAAGAGAAATATGGGCTTCCCTGGTGGCACAGTGGTTGAGAGTCCGCCTGCCGATGCAGGGGACACGGGTTCATGCCCTGGTCCAGCAAGATCCCACATGCTGCAGAGTGGCTGGGCCCATGAGCCATGGCCGCTGAGCCTGCGCGTTCAGAGCCTGTGCTCTGCAACGGGAGATGCCACAATTGTGAGAGGCCCGCGTACCGCAAAAAAGAAAAAAAAAAGTAGAAGGACAAAGCCATTTGCTGCCAGATCTCTGCTATTTCCTTATGATGATTATATCAACTGGCAAGAAAAAAACCTTTTATCACTACAAAAATCACAAAATTGGTTTGACAAATACCATGAACCTACTACTAAAAATTTATCATTTCCCAGTAGTTACTGGAAACTATGTTATCAAACTTCAGAATACTCAATGTTTTCCAGGGAATTGAAATATATGAAAATGAAAGTACAATTGGCAACATAAAACCTGAATGAGGCAGGTGGTGCCGCCCTATGCTGTGGCAGCAGTGCTTCCTGAAGGCTAGCGAAAACAGTCAGAAGCCTTCCCTCTAGCTCTGCCACCAAACCTTTACATTTCAGAGTAGCGCAGGATACCACACACATGCTCACATATATGTAACACTGGTGCGTCATCCACAACGTGCTATCCACTGGACACTGAAATAACAAACAAACACAAAGAGGTGCAGCTCCACATCAAACGGAAACCTTTACCTGGATGTCTACAGAGGCCTATGTCCCTCACCAATCTTTCTTACTGATGGAGAAGACACCTGTGAGGCCAGAGACACTGAAGAGGAACACCCAGACACAGATGTAGATCTCTCTTTCACGTCTACCTGTATGACCAATGAGAAGGCCAAGAAGGGTGCACCTGTTACTCAGTAAAAATGGGAGGACTGAGGGAAAACAGGAAGGTGAGTGTACTGCTACATCAAACTAAACAGCAAAGGTAAGGGAAAAAAAGGGTAAATAGGAAAGTTAAGGAGGAAATAAGAGATGAAAGAATGAAAAGGCCAAACAGTACTCACCTGATTCACAAAGAGAGATTCTATCCTAACCTTCAACACAACAAACACAAGATATCCTCCTAAAAGTCAAGAGGAAAACAAAGTGTTGGGGCATCACTCTGGAGTCCAGGTCTCGGAGACTGTGCAACCCTTCTGCTGGCACTCACACTCTCTCTTTACCCCTCCTGCTGGCAGGCCGGTGGTGGGCTGCCCGGTGGAGAGGCCCATGTGTCCAGGAATGAGCGTGGCCACAGGCCTAAAGCTCGTAGAACTGAGGCCCTGAGTCCAAAGAGGCACCAAGTCCTGCCAACAACCCCAAGAGTGAGACTGGCATCAGCTCCACCCCCATGGAACTTGGAGGCGATGGCTACTGGGCTGACACCTTGACACAACTTGACTGAGAGCCTTAAGGGGGACCCAGAGCCAGGAGATGCAGCTAGGCTGCATCCAGATGCCTGACCACAGAAACCTGAGAAAACAAAGGTTGCTGTTTCCTAAAAATTGCATCAAAATTTATATGACTAACATATGGCTCAGCCATCCCTCTTGTCAGCATTTATCCTACAGAGTCCTGCAAGGATATGTGTACCAGAATGTTCATTATAGCACTTCTCATAGCAGAAAAGAGAAACCATCCAAAATCTAACAATGGATCAAAAGTTAGTAACTTACAGTATCCATATAACTGAATACTACGTAAATAAGCTGCAAATCAGTATGTTTAATTTTCTCCTTTCCGTAAAATCCGACAAAGACAGCCCGAAGCGTTCTCTGCGTACGGATTTTTACTGCAATGAGATGAAGACCGCTTTCCTCCTGAGGAGAAGGCTCTCACTCAACCTCCCCACGGGCGGCTCAGGATGGGTATGTTCCCATGGGTCCCCATGTGGCTATCAGCTGGTACCAGCGGCTCACACTCCTCTGTAAGAGGCCTTATGAAAACCTCTCATTCTATATTTTTTTAAATGTTGTTCTAGAGCCTTAAAAAAGGAAAAACAAAAAGACTATGCCCTCAGTCACTGTTACTCAGGAAGGCTGTGCAGGCAGAAACGCTTCTCCGCAAAGGCAGACAGCCCAGGCCTCCAGACTCCGGGCCAGTAGTGGCCTGCCAACAGCCACGTCTGACCACTGTGGGGTTTTTAAAATGGCTTCTTCCTACATTGACCTAAACTTTTTCTTTCTAATCCTCTTGTTTCCATTTACCTTTCCCTCATTAAGTTGTTTTTTTTGTTTGTTTGTTTGGGGTTTTTTTTGCAGTACGCGGGCCTCTCACTGTTGTGGCCTCTCCCGTTACGGAGCACAGGCTCCGGACGCGCAGGCTCAGCGGCCACGGCTCACTGGCCCAGCCGCTCCGCGGCATGTGGGATCTTCCCGGACTGGGGCACGAACCCGTGTCCCCTGCATCGGCAGGCGGACTCTCAACCACTGCGCCACCAGCGAAGCCCCCTCGTTAAGTTTTTAAGCCATAAGAATTAATATCCAATAATTACATATATATCTGTCTATAAAAAGAAGCTCTAGAAACTGAAACATTATAAATAGGTTCTAACTAATATAATTCTTTGGTCAAAAGATATAATTCTGATAATGCAACAATAAACAGTTAACATGTCTTATTTTAGACAAAATATGACTACCTACACACACTGAAACGTACTTTAGCAAAACAGACTACACAGAAACCTGTATTTTTTTCTTCACATATATCAAACCTTACACAAAGATGTTAAGATTTAAAATACATGTCTCAAACAATTCCTTCAGATTCAAAAGTTACTTGCAATCAGGCTAAATGTTCATAACTGGCATACACATGTCTAAAAGATATTAAAAATGCATCAACCTTTTCCACTATGATGAGGTCTCCAACTTGTATGTCTGAACTCTTAACTTGCACTTTACCTTAAAAAAAAGAAGAAGTATAATCAACTCAAGGAAATAATAGCACATCAGAGTTAAACTTTCAGTTGATAAATAATACTTTAGAAATAACTTTGGGAGAAAAAAATAACACTTTAGAAATTTATCTATACTTATACTTTCAAAATAAATTTATTTCAGATAGACACAGTCGCTGAAAATTTACTTCTCCTAGTGAACTCCCAAATACAATTAACTATCCCCCAATAAAAGACGTGCGAGAGTGGGGAAGAGGATTCCATCTGGAAAGTTCTTCCCACATCTGCCATTATTTCAGGTCTGAGTCAAGTTACGGATGATCAAAAATATCACTAAATAAAATAATTTGATGACTGAAGCTGAGTAACATGTAGATGTAAAATCCTTACATTAATGTTTTGGAGGCACTGATTGGCACATAACTGACAGAAAAAAGAAACGAAGAAAATTACATGTAAAACCACCCTCCACTAGTAGCTTTACAGACACAGGTCAGGACTGAAAACTAAGGTCTAGAGATTTACACAAAATGTGATGCTTCCACATGGTATACTGTGTAAATTCTTAAACTGTCTCTCTAGTATCTAGTGCACTGTAATCATTTACAAAATCTAACACACAACATCTACATCATGTTAGTGCCACAGAGAGGAGGTGAGAAGCTGGCGTGGACAATGGGAGACACTGTCCTGAAGCAGCAACAAGACTTGGGTCAGTTCTCTCTCCCTGTGTCTCCTCCCTCCCTGCCTCCCTTCGCCCCTCTGTTTCTCTCCCTCCTTCCCTCTCTCCCCACCTCCTTATCTTGGTCTCCGTCCCTCCGTCCATCTCCCTTTTGAAACCAGCAACAGCCTTATGGATCTGCCTTTACATTTTTGTAACTACTGTTTTGACGTGGGAAAAGGTCCACTTCTTTTACATTCGGTTTATTCTGAAAGCTCACAGAGCAAGAGCTGAGTTCATACGACATTATCGAAGACCAGCATTACCAGTCATTACACTGACGTTTAGACCAATTCAACTTATCATAAAGCCTTATTTCCTAAATACCTCTTAAAGCAGCTGAGTTTCAATAGAACCATACCAGTTCCTAACAATTTGTTTTGAGGATATCAAAACGTTTTGTAAATATTATATTTTTGCTGTTATATTTTTCCATTTTCCTCAATTATACAATAAATACATAAGGGCTGGAGTAACTTTTCAGGGGGGAGATGAAGCTACTTTTTATTCATATTATAAAATAGCAAAGTTCTTTAGAATTGCATGTGAAGCAAATCTTACGATATTTTCATAAGTGATAAGTATACATCAATTAGTAGCCAAAAAACATACTTGCAAAAGAATGTCTACTTTAAATCTTTTTTTTCAGTTGGTCACTTCAAGCTTCAGGTCTGTACTCCCACTATTATGTTTTTTATAGCTAAGCATCAGGCAGTAAAGACATATTACTTATCTCATACTCCCTGAGTATTAACTCAGCAGAATTCCTGTCTTATCATTTAATTTTATTTTCTCTCCTACTCTCCAATCCACTTTTCCTTCCTTCTGCTTTTTTACATTTTAATAGACACATTTAAAAAAGAGAGAAAAAGAAATGGTTGCAGTCATAAGATGTAGTAAATAATTTTAAACTATTTTGAAACAAAGAAAACGCATCCTTTTTTGACTCCTTAATCAAGACCTTACATTTCTGAGAGATTTATTACCTTCTCTCACATGGTAATAGACACAATTTATATTTAATAGCCTTTAATTTTTAAGGCATTAATTGTGATCACTATTCATTTCTATGGAACTTACTAGCAATTACATGTTTAAGTAAAACAGTTTATGAAAACGCACTGTTGAAAGTTCTCAACTCTTACACAATATTACAACACGAACAAAATACGAGAAGGCTAAACACAGCACAGTGTCAAATCAGTATGATCATCTGCCTCACTTATCTGTTCAAAGCACACATGTCTAAATTTTGAAGAATTGGTCAAATTGTTCAACAGTTCTGAATTCTCTAATAATTCTGATCTTGTGTTCAAGGGACTGCCTGCACTTCCTTTACAGCCTTTGTCACATGAACTCACGGACTTCTTCTCTGTTCTCTTTCCCAAAGAACAGCGAAGGCATCGGACAGAAAAGATGGAGGAAAGCCACCCACTCCCCATGCACCTGTCCAGCACTGACAGCCCAGCATCATGACCTTCCGCAGCCTAATCTGCAGAGTCCACGCCTCCACTAACGGTTTGATTTCTGGCCACCCTTTGTGAGCTGAACGGATAGCTGATCCTAGCTAGCAACATACTAATATCAGAGTTGGAAGAGACTGGTAACAAGAGATATTCCTTAAGTTTTACAAGTCACAGCACATAGAAGACACACAACGGCCACCTGCTCTCACAAACCAATGGAACCATCAACAACACAAAGTGTTTATTGAATGAGCATTTAAAATTTAGTAACTTCAGAGCTCCATTTGATAGAAGCAAGTTCTAAATAGAGTAACAAAGATACTTCAATGTGTACACCAGTATTTAAACCTAATGACAGTTTTCCTTAAAAATATCCTACTCCATTTACTGTCAAGTACATACTCAGGAAGTCGTACCTTACCAGCCTTTTTCTTTTGATGGAACAGTGAATAGTGACTATTACCAAGTAAGGTAACAGCAGTCCTTTCCTCCCTCTAAACTACTGCAGGTAAATCCTTCCATTAAATCCTTCTTCTAGCAATAAACGTTCCCTGCCACTATGCCTCAAAAGTATGATGGCTTATGTGTGCCTTATCACGGGAGGCAAGCATTTAGCTCACTTGCCCCGTGAACCAAGTTTTATTGGCTCCTCCGAAGAGAGATCAAAAATCACTCCAAGAACCACTCTTCTTCCTGCAGAGTGTCTAACCACGTGCCCTGTCTACCACTCTCATTGCCACTCATCAGCATCACCTGTAGCAACAAGACACAACTAAATGGTCGCCACTGTTATTATTTTCTGAATTCAGCATAATTCCAAACAAACTAGTTGAAAAATTAAGGATTATGTTCATCCTCACCCCAAACCCTCCATTACTGGACAATTACTTAGAAGATAATCAAATTTGCAGCATGTATACACATTCTTCACAGCTGATCTCAAATTAACTTTCCGGCTTTACCTACTATTTCCCTTTGCTCCTGCTCTATGTTAGTCTGGCACCTTATCCGACAACCGTGTAAGGCCCTTGCTTATTCTTACAGGTTCTCTGCACTTGCTGCTCCTTTTGACTGAAATCCCTCCCTCCCCAGACCTCCTTAATTGCACAGCAAATATAACCCCATGAAGCCTTCTGTAACCTGTATAAGCATCAGCAGGATTTTATACACACTGCTACACAATGTGCTTAAAATGCTATAAATATTCAAACACCTGAGTGTCTACCAAATTTCAGATCCTGTGCACTTTTAGGACATTTAGTTTGTTCTTCGCAAATGCATATCCAAACTTAACCCATTTTAAAAGAACAGGAGTTGATAACCATTTTACCCCTAATCAGTTAAAATGGGTCAAATGCCGGAATGGATTAAAGAGAGCATAACCATAAACACCACATCTAACTAGACACAGACATTACCAAATAAGGATGAAAAGGTATTAATTACTTATTTCCCAACAAAACACACACAAGGAGATAAGGGTGACAGATAATTAAGCAACTTTTTTAAAAAGCACTTGATCGCATATAAGGAGCCCTCTAGAAGGTCACTTCGGATTAACACATATTGCTTCCTGGGTAGACCATCACCCGTGAAATTGGCAAGTTATTGGGCTTGTCTTCATTATTTGGGTGGGAATGGCATTCTCCCCCAACTCTCTCACCATTTGAAGTGGGTGTGGAGGTAGGAGCCTAACTCCAGATTATGAAGCAAAGTGGGTAGTTGGGAAATAAGTTTTATACTATACTATATTATATCACATCGTATTATATTAAGAGAGAGACCTATACTCTGAAAAAAACCCAAAATATTGCTGAGAGAAATTTTAAAACACCTAAATAAAGGAAGAGATATACCTCATTCATGGATCAGAAGACTTAATACTATTAAAAAGTCAATTCTCCCCCAAATTTATCTATAGATTCAATGCAATCCCAATCAAAATCCCAGCAGGCTTTTTATTTTCTTTTTTTGTGGTACGCGGGCCTCTCACTGTTGTGGCCTCTCCCATTGCGGAGCACAGGCTCTGGACGCGCAAGCTCAGCGGCCATGGCTCACGGGCCCAGCCGCTCCGCGGCATGTGGGATCTTCCCAGACCGGGGCATGAACCCGTGTCCCCTGCGTTGGCAGGCGGACTCTCAACCACTGCGCCACCAGGGAAGCCCTCAGCAGGCTTTTTTTTTTAATAGAAATTAACAAACTGATTCTAAAAGTCACATGGAGGGACTTCCCTCGTGGCACAGTGGCTAAGAGTCTGCCTGCCCTGCCGGTGCAGGGGACACAGGTTCGAGCCCTGGTCCCGGAAGACCCTGCATGCTGCGGAGCAACTAAGCCCGTGCGCCACGACTACTGAGCCTGCGCTCTGGGGCCCGCGAGCCACAGCTACTGAGCCCATGTGCCACAACTACTGAAACCCGCACGCCTAGAGCCCATGCTCCACAACAGGAGAGGCCACCGCAATGGAAAGCCTGCGCACCACAGTAAGGAGTAGCCGCCGCTCACCGCAACTAGAGAAAGCCCACATGTGGCAACAAAGACCCAACGTAGCCAAAAATAATAAATAAATAAATAAATAAATTTATAAAAGTCACATGGAAATACAAAGGATCTAGTCTAGCCAAAACAACTCTAAAAAGGAAAAACAAACTTGGAGGGCAAACGCTACTGCTTTCAAGAATTATTATGAAACAACAGTAATCAAAAGACCATTGTTTTAGCATAAAAGAGACAAATAGATCAACAGAGTGAAGAGAGAGTCTAGAAATAAACCCACACATGAAAGACAACTAATTGTTGACAGAAGTGTAAGCCAATGTG